AGCTTCATGAGCGAGATTACAGCCGTCACCAAAGTAGTACCTTTCAGGCAACCTGGCCTAACATATGGATCGCACGAAAGTGCTAGATTCCACCCCTCCCCCCTTTCCTCCAAGCCAAACAGCGCTCAGTTTTCTCCATTCGAGATAGATACAAAACAGAATGCAAAGGGAATGTATACCATACAGATTATTCTGAATCGTAAAGCAGACCTTATTTAAAGCAACAACGAAGGGCGTTTTCCTCTTCAGCAACAATTTCAACGATTCAATCGTCTGTGGTTCAAGTCCATGCATAATGTCCACAACCAGTATAGCGAAATCACACAGCGACGATCCACGAGAACGAAGATTCCTGCACAAAAAGCAATTATTCTTCTCTCGTAAAGAGAAATCCATTAAAACCAAAGCTCAGTAATTAATGAACGCTTACGCAAAACTTTCGTGACCCGGCGTATCAATAATGAGGAAGCCTGGGATTCTCACAGCATCGGGATTGAAATCTCTCACTTGCTTACACCGTTCCTTGATGGCATCGGCTGGGACCTAAAGAAAAGGGGATTGAAAAAATGGGAAAATTTTGAGTTCCTCGAATCATCAAACCTGCGTGGCACCAATTTGTTGGGTAATACCTCCTGCCTCACCGTCTTGTACATTTGTTCGTCGAATCTGAAACCAACGGCTAAGGACCAACTCGTAAAACGCTTAGCAAAACCAGTCTAGAACATATCACATACAGTATCCAGCATTTTCGTCTTTCCAGTATCGACATGACCAAGGACACAGATAACCGGAGCGCGTAAATTGTCCCTGGAACGTTTAGACTCCGCAAGTTCACGACGTTTCTGAAATAGTAGGTAGTAATCCTAGTGAAGCGCCGGAGAACTTCAACCTGAAACTGCAAGCAGTTTTCAGTTTTCAAAAAGAACTTACGATCAGTCGCTGCCGCACTGCCTCCATGGCTTCCTTCTTGCTCTGAGACGATCACCTTTAGGTTGCGTTCATACTTTTTGTCAGCGTTTTGGGCGCTAACCAGCGTTTTGGGAGTCCACCAGTGTTTTCAGCGAGCGGGAAAGTATAGGCATCGATTATCGCTGGAAAAGCTGACGGACTTTCAAATGCTAGTGGACGCTCAGAATGCCGATGGACGCTCGGAACTTTGCCGCAAAGTTTGAACTCATTCTTACTTGGAAACAACTGTAGAGTAAAAAAGTACTGAAATTACCACAACTGCACCGGGCTATGGGCAAATAGCTATTAAACAATGGGAAACGCCGTCAAGCTGAGAGAGCAGAAGACGATCTCGGTGGTGTAGCGGCCCCTCGCTAGTCCACTAAGAGCAGGTCAATGTTCCATGTGAGGCAAAACTTTTGCCCAGCATTTTAGTCTAGCACTTTAGGACGAGCTTCCCGCCAACTACGGCAAAAAGCATCGATTATTAGAATAAAACATAGAATTACCGTTTTTGTTTCTGTTGATACTTGTTCAATAGTTCGTGGTTGCGGTTTCACCTCAGTTTCCTCTTTTTCTAAACGATCCTGCTCTTCCTTCTGCTGTTTCGCTTCTTGAAGAACCATCTCCCAATCGTCTAAGGGTTCTTTCTGCAACAGAAAACAGTGGGAAATAATATTTCCAAGAGGGCGTTCCCAGTTTGTCTTAGGCAACGTTCAGACTTCGCGACGGCAGCGCTTCGGTCGCGCGTTCGACGCGATCGATGCGCATGCTTTCAACTGCATCGATCGCGTCGAGCGCGTGACCGAAGCGCTGTCGTCGCGAAGTCTGAACGCTGCCTAAGCTACTGGCCTTCGAGACAGCATTTGTTTCAATGGATAAGACATAACAGAGGTCCTATTCGGCCGTCTACAGCTACCTTGTAGCACGCTGGATAATGCAAAAACAACGCGCGTTAGACACTACTCAATGAAAAAAAAAATAAGAACCCACCGTTTCCGGTGTCTTGGACTCCGGAGTTTCTTCCTTGGACGGGGGAGGCGTCTCCGAAGCTTCTAAACAGAAAAATCACAACATCACCCAATTTCAGAAACTCTCGCCTAAATCAAACCTTTAGCACGGCCTAGCTTGCCTCTTCTTCTTCTTTTCTGCTGCTGTAGTAGCTTCTGGCTGTTTCCCTCTCTTCTGTTTTGTTCCAGGAACTTCTTCTTAGCTCGTCGGTCCAAGTTGGCATAAATTACGTGTTCATTGACCGTTGGAACTGGCTTCGTTACTGAAAATATTACGTTAAATGAGGGAAACTGACTTCCCCCACCCCCTCCCCGCCCCCAAGCTTCGAGAACATACGCACATCCGCTGCGGCCAAACTTTCTGCACTATCGTTGCTTCTCTCGTGAGCAGCCAGTCAGATACGTTCCTTCAGCCTTTTTACGTTCGATTGCCGCTTTTTCCTTGGCTTTCCTTGCTTCTCGCTTTTCCTTGGCTATCCGCTCCTGAAATCGATGTCTACTTCACATTCTAGATCGAATGGAGAGCCCTAGCATTTGATTAGGCTGCTTTCATACTTTACCGCAGCGTTTGAGCGTTTTGCGGCCAACCACGCGTTTTAAAGCGAGTAATCGATACTCTATACATATATTATTGGCCTAGAACGCTGCCCGCAAAAGGTATTGAACGCCATTCTAAGAGGGCACAAACACATGTAGCAAACCAGTAATAACTAGTAAGCTTACCTCTTCCTCTTTAGCGCGAGCTATAGCCGCGAGACGCTCTTCTTCCTCTTTTTGCCTGCGCAGTTCAGCTTCCTCAGCTTCTTGTTTTGCGCGCAAGAGCTCTTTGATCCATATCCACCTTCAATTCTCGTGACTTGAGAAAACTTCAAAGAAATGAAAAATGTTAAACCTGCAAGAAACATACATGTTTCTTCTTTTTGCCTTTCCCATCGTCCTTTTCCTCCTTCTTTTTATCCTTCTTCTTGTCTTTCTTTTTCTTCTTTTTGTCTTTAGCCGCGTCATCACCACCATCTTCCTGTCCTTCCTCAACATCACCGCCAGCCGGCTCTTTTGCTTCCTGGAATACTGGCAGCAATCCAAAGCAACCTTTTGCGATAAAATAACATGACAGTGATAAACAACAAGTAAATATTTTACAATAAATATTGTACAAAGACAAGACGTGTTCGCCGTTTAAGGGGCATTATTAGTGTTCTAGTCTCTTTAGTTATTCTTGTTAACCTAAATTATGAAGCTTATGCTATTGCACAGCTTTACGGAAACCTACAGGTCTCCAAAAGAGGCCTCGGCAGTGCGCTCGATGGAGAGTGCGTTGCACTAGCCAAACCGAACTGCGGCCGAAGAATAACCAATCATGAGTATGAGATCAAGTCTTGACAAAATAAAAAATTCTTTTTTCTTTCTCGACGACTTTTCCCTGCGGGTTAATATCTAAATATGACGTAACTGTATTGTACTCTATTGCAATCGCTGAAGCACTTCTAACAAATATTGATCGTACGTAACAATCGATAATTAGGTGTTTATCCCTCTTTTATACTTTTCTGCCCAACTTTTCTAGAACTTAACTCAGCAGTTACTCCTGCAAAACACTCACCTCCTCTTCAGGTTTCTCTGCAGGTTTCTCTTCTGCCTTAGCTCGCTCATGGTGTGATCCACGTCTCCTTCTTCTAATGCCTGTCTTTTTTTTCTGTATTACTTCTTGCCCCTCGTTCCGCAAGCCGGCCCTCGTCTCAGTTTCAGGTGCAGTAGGTACTAGGAGCAGGTTACAGGGAGCTGCTAAGATAAAAAGACAGTAGTGCACATTCAGAAAAGCTTGGTGACGATTTGAGTTCCAAAAATAACCAAATAATCAAGAACCCCAAAAAGGAGTTAGTTTTCGGCGAAGAATTAAACACTTCATTCTAGTTCCTAAATAGTATCTAGGCGATGTTTGACGACGTGGGGGGGGGGGGGAAGGTGGGGGCATTTGCTGTTGACTTGTCATTGACAACTTCCAATCGACGGCTCGGCACCGCACTAGACAGCCTCTGCGCGTACAGCTTCTCACAGCGCGGGTTTCACTCAGAGTGAGACTTGCAAAACAACGAACAAACGAGGTGAAGCAACAAAAGGTCCAAAATGCCCCCCCCCCCGTCGCCAAATTCGCCTCAGTATCTCGACACCGACTGCTTTTCATCGGGAGAATAGAGGTGATTGAGCGAGCTGCAAATAAATGGTGAGTAGACTATCGATCTGCATTTGAAATAGGCGCTCCTAGCGGATCGGTTCTGTCTGAGTGAATAGGAAAGCGATAGGGGCTGTTCATCGGCGGGGGGGGGGGTGGTCGTATTGGTCTCGTGTGAGAGGATGAGAATTAGGCTGAGTAGCGTGCTTCTTAAGAGAATCGCGTCCGGTAACAGTTTGGAGTGAATTTTTTCACTGTCAGCTGCACGTACATCCCTCCCAGACTCGGACAGCAAAATTTTCCGGGAAAAAAAGTAGTGGAAAAATTTCCGCGTAGACGGGATTATGGTAGGAAGTTGCAAAGATTCCTCCGCTTTGCAGACTGCTATGTACCCCCCCCTTCTCGCGTGGCGGCGAAAATTGGCGTGAAGAAAAGATAAACTGCGAAATGTCGCGCGAAATTGCGTATCGTATGTGTTGGTGCGCGGAAGAGGAGTAAAGCGTAACCGAGACACCGCTCACTGACGATTTGGGTGGGGGCGGGGGTGGTGGGGGGTGGGGAGGGCGGCGGGGATCCGTACTCACACCGTCTCTCGCTGGGGGGGGGGCGTCTACGCTACACCACCACCTCACAATCACGATGCTGTACCCTGCCTAGACTTTCCCTTTCGGTCACTCCACTTTGAAAAATACAATTTCTCTCAGAACGTCAAATCGATACCTATGCTCGCTTTTCGCACGCTTGTGCTTAAGGCTGAACGCCATTTTTTAGAACGCGACTTTTTCAATTGGCAAAGAATGTACACAGCCTTACCTTGCTCCGGTTCTGGAGGTGCTACTGGTGCCGGTGTTGGCTCTTTGCTTTCTTCCGTAAGTGGAGCAGAATCGAGGCTCTACTTCCGCTTCTTTTTCCGCCTATTCTTCTTGACCCTTCGCTGTGGGGCTGCTTTTTCGTTTAACTCCAAATCAGCTAATATTGCATCGAGATCATCATCTTCTTCTTGCTTTCCCTGAACATTTGTAACGAGATACTCAAGAATAGAACATTTCTAAACGACTGATGTACAGTCAATGCAGACCTCTTTTTCCCTTCTTAGCCTTCTTCTTGTCGCATGCTTATGTTTGGGCTGCTGGTTCAGCGCTCTCTCTTGTGGTCTTCTCCGTGTGGCGGAGGTTTCTTTTCTTCAAACCATACGAGTACGTCAGTAACGAACGCCTACATGTACATAAAGAAGATTTTCGGCATTTTCAAGGAGCATGCAGACCCTTGCTAGGACAACGCATCGTGGCTGTGTAAGATTTCAAATGGAATTCGACCCTATCCATTATCCTCCTGGTACGAGCTATTCATCCCAATTTTTTCTGTATTTCACTGTCCGATCGCCGGCGGAGGAGAAAGTGACGGAGATATCAGAAGCATCAGGATAGGGTGACACTGTAGTGCCTCAGTCTTGCGACCTACTTAACCGTACTGAAACCACCCAAATTCCTACTCACTCCCAAAAAGTTTGCTACTTTCACTCGAAAAAACAGGCATTGAGGTGGGATGCCGTCCTCCTATTGTAGTTTACTGAGCGACGGCAACGACCCGTGCCACGCTGAGGAGGATTTTCGCGACAATACACCCAGCTCCGAATGTCCTCAGTCTGCGTATGACTTACGTTAACTTCCTACCATTTTCCGGATTTTGTTTCAGAAATTCCTACATTTGCCCGAGAAAAAAAATGTTGTCAAGGGAGGAGGGGCTATATAGCAAATACCAACTCGAAACATGAAAAACCTAGAGGAGCCAGAAAACGAACACTTGTTCCCAAGGACAAATCTCCCCCTCGCTATAAATCCATAAAAATTGGCGAGCCTTGTTTACGTCCCCGCCAGTTAAGAGATTAGGATAGGATATGCAGTGCACGTGAAGCAGGAAAAATCTCACAAGCGCAAAACTGTTCTCTCAATGCCGCAACACCGTTTACAATCCCTCCCCGCCTCCCAACGGACTGAATTAGACTTGCCTCACGTTGTGCTTTTTCACATATGGCAGCGCTTGTTTCCTCGTTGCCAACACGCAAAAAGAGCCACGTGGCCAAGCATGGCAGTCGAGATTTCTTTGATGCGCCTATCCTGTCCCCAAGTGATTTAGATTTATAACGAAAAGAGGAGAACATGGTAAAGGTTGGAACCCTTTGACAGGAAGGCTAACCTTTTTGACTTTTTCAGAATCCGATTCGGATTTCGCATCGCTGTCATCATTCTCGTCATCGTCATCCATCTGTAAGATAGTATTACGATTTTCAATGATCATCATCCGTAGAATGAAATCGAAACAACGGGAAAACTATTAATAAATGGGCAGCGAGGTGTGACTCGTTACTGTGAAGGACGCACGCATACCATAATAAGACACAGCCAACTTGAAGCTAAACACTAACTTCTTTTTGCGATAGGAAATTAGTCGTCTCTGGCGTGGCCGTAAACTGGTCCGCGCACGTGACGTTTGCGAAGCTTGCCATTGACCCATTGCTAGAAGGTAGGCGTCATATCCCTCGTAGGCTGCGTTTAGTCCATTAGCATGACATGTTCATTTTCTAGCCTTCCCTTTTCAAAAATGTCTTTAAAGACACGTTCTGCATTCAACTGTGCCTTGTTGGGATAGGGTGGCCCTCCCCGCGAGCGCGGTAGATGACTATTTCCGCTACTCAAAAATATGCGAGTAAAGCGCAACCCGATCGTGACGAGGCAACGGTCCCGCCCCTTGGCAACGACAACGCCCAGCTTTCATTTTTGAAGCTTCTCTGGTGGTGCAGTTTCCGCTGCTGACTCTCTCCATTTCTAATGGTTCTCGCTCACGCCCTTTCTTCGACTTATGTATGAACAAAGACGGCTCAGCATAGGGCTTTATATGGAGCACTTTGGGCGGGTTTTAAGTGCTTTTTCTTCACCCTTGCGTTAGGTACCATTTTGCCACCAGTATTCAGCCGCACAACTCACAATGTTTGAATGCGGGTGCCTTTAATGCTGAGGTCACAGATTGCGCTCAAATGAATCGCCGAATGGAGGACAGATGGTCAGGAAATCAGCAAGAAGATTTAGATATTGCCCTAGGGGCGTTTTGAGAGATACGTAGGTGACTATTAATCAATTCCTAACTCATGTTTTCCCACGACACCCCATACCCCATGTGGCACAAGGTTGGAATGGAGCTCAAATTGAATGAATCATTACCAGCATTGCGAAAGCTGCTGCTTTTTTGCCTGGAGCTGGTTTCGTCACTACTGGTAGGTCGTCATCGCTTTCATCATCCCAGGTCACTTCATCCGCGTCTTTCTTTGCCAATGACGCTAATTTTCGCTCAGCAGCCTCGTCGTCCCTAAAACAACATGAACGACACTGTGAGGATCGAATTCAATACCAGACACAATCAGGGGCCAAAAAATTCTGGCCCTAAAAAACCGAAAAAATGCAGATCTCACCAGTCGTCGTCCTTATTCTTCTTTCCAGCTGCCTTTTTCGGCGGCATCTCTGAAAACAGAAGTGAATATGAAGATGGGAACGTATTCCTGGACGACAAGTAACGAGCATAGAACGGAAAACTCAGCACAAGTCGGCTAAGGAGGAGGAGCATTTCAGTGAACCCTTGTGTAAAACTGAGAATATCACAAAGTGAAACCCTTCTTGCACCAAGAAATTTGTTCTCCCATCCCAAATCTCCCTTGAAAAACCCTTGTTTCAATTACGGCAAACTTCACAACTTACACAAAGAGTCCTTAAGCAGCTCCCACCCCAACACATTAGCAGCAGAGACCTCTACACCTTTTGGTGCTATGATAATTGTGAGGCCAGGGTATAGGAACAGGAGGTAAAGCAAAGCTTCTCAAGACCATATGGAAAGGCCTCATCAGCAGAAACTGTCAAAAGCAATCTGGACTTTTTAAAGATCCGATAATGAATTCAAGCTTGTACTCGAGCCATGTGTTAGGCGTGGGAGTCATCACAAAACGAAATGTTTGCGGACAACTTAAGGCGGGGACGGGGGCGGGGGGGGGTCTGCCAGGCCGATTTACAGCTTTTATGTCTGCACTCTGATAATTCCCGCGGATGGAAAGAGGTGCCAAATTCTTTTCGAATAGAAACGAGAATTGGATGAGGACGAAGAAAATGCCCGATGAAAATTCACATGTCACTGTTAATATTCGAACCACATTTCACGAGCTCAACAACGTTCCGCCCAATATGCATGCCTGCGTTTCATGCCTGCGTTTCGTCAATTGCTGTGTCGTATTGGGAATGCATGGGACGATGTGCTGGCTCATTTATGAAGTGCATAGATCACCGAATCCGCTCAAAACTTGCATACAGGACTCATCCTGATGACAGGTATGAAATTCATTCCTTCCGATGGCGCTAATGGGAGGACACTTACGATTATCTTTTAGGGCTCGCCTTAGCCATTTGTGACAGGCTAATACCTACCGCTTACCATTCGCGCGCCAGCGCCAAGAATAATGCTCATATTCGTAATCAATGTCAAATTATCCCCCCCCAACATTTCGCTGTGTTTGGCGAGTTCTGCCGCGCACGCGCCTTTTACTTGAGCTTAGCAGCCCCGAACAGCGCGTTCAAACGGCATCAGTCGACGATACGTAGGTTGGAGAGGCATACTACATTCTGGAGTGATTACTAACAGACCAGTACCTGGTTCATAATATTTTTGGTACGTCTGTTCTGTTTGTCCCAGTAAATTCGGGTTTACCTGAAGCAGCCACTTGGTACAGCTGGAGTCAGGTGTCGCCCTTACTGTAAGCGTGTCAGTTCACAAATAGAATATAGCGAGGGTGGACTGCGGGAACCGGGTACTGGGTGGGTGATTGGGAACGTTAATCGTTAACTGATAAGGTTGTTGGTACAGAGCCTATAGAAAAGGGAAAAAACTGAATCACAGCGACGTGTCGCACACAGGGTTATAGGAATCGTTTGTGCGAAACACACAGGGAGGAGGGTCGTACTTTCTCTTGGGGAAGGACGGTCCGTATTTGGTCACTGGAGAAGGGAGCGCTGTGTGCCTTGAGGGAAATTTTTGTCGCGTTTGTTTTATATTTTGATGGTTGTTGACTTTTGCGTGATTTTCCTGTTTTCATGTGCCACCAAGTACCCCTCGCCCCCCTCCCCGGTCGACAGGAAATTTGGTGAAAAAAACTTGGAAAATGGGGGAACTTTGTAGGTTAGGTCTTGGGAGATAGGGGAAGGGGGTGGGAGCTACCGGAGCCCCATTTAGAGTGGGGGGGCGGGGCTCGAACTGAGCAACATCTTTCGGAGGTCGTACGTACACCACACCCACCTCCACACTTCACGATGTATGTTACTCTATCAAGCATCAGCAAGAGCGTTGGTCATCAAGTTACGACAGTTAGATGAGATGGGCATCAACTGTGGTGACAAAAACATAAGGTTTCAGTTAGGCCTGAAAAGCGGACGTTGCAGCAGGGCACATCGTGTGTTGTGGAATCCTATAGGGGATCGTATTTGCCCCTAGGGATGAGGGGCGTCGTTTTTAGGTACTGAGGAAAAACTGAATCGATTAGTTGAGATTTTTCGCTTCTTTTCCTGTTTCACAATGTGCTAATTTACCTCCCCCCCTCCTTCTTGATGGCTCGATTCGATGAGGAGGGCGGGGGGGGGTAGTTCGCACAATGATTGTGCCTTGCGTTGCAGGTCGTTGTTGTTGTTCAACTTGGTGGGGCTTTTACACTACCAAGTTGGAAGGATTCAGCGATAGGGGTACTGATGACGGGTGACAAGTGATGATGTCAGTTTATAAGAATTGATAGAATCATCTCCAACTTGCCATCTCGTTTTACTTTTTACCCCTACTCTTTAAATATTAAAGGCTCAGAGTGTGAACTCTTTCGTTCGACCATCACTTTTCTGATAGCCTTATGTATGTAATGATGTCGACCGAGGGAAGGGGGGGGGGGGGATCTGTGGCGCGCGGTGTATTGGTAAAAATCCGAAAAAAAAACCCGACAAGTCGAATAGCGTGCGAGTCGTATCATCTAGAAGAACGAAGGGCCTGCAAAGTTTCGAGCGTGAAGTTGAAGGTGTTAGTCGCATGACAGTGATGTGTTGGAAATAGATTATGATAGTCATTGGCAAGAAGCGATTGACATGTGTTAGTTAGAAAGAAGAGAGCAATTTGAAGCACCTGAAAAAGCGTACATAGCAAGCTGCGCTCGCCCGGCGAAGCCGAACCGAGGCAGCGTTCAGACTTCGCGACGGCAGCGCTCCGGTCGCATGTTCGACGCGATCAGCACAGTCGAAAGCATGCGCATTGATCGCGCCGTACGCGCGCGCCGAAGCGCTGCAACGTAAATGTCTGAAACGCTACCGTGCAGAGCGAAGGCTGCCCTGGCCGTCAGCGGGCGAGCCCGACTGGTATCCCATAAACGATCATTAATTGTTTATTTGTTGAGTTGTTGTATTTAATACACGCGCGACGGATTGTCTGTTATTGCCAATCCAAAATACTCTAACGGGTGATAAAAAGATGACCCAATTTTTTGAAATTTCGAGAACTTTGGAATCTTGGTCGATATCGATGACCAAGCAAGTGGTAGTTGTAGAACATTCTCGAACCTTCTCCATAATGGGTATATAAAGCTGGGCTGCTTCCTATAGCTTTAATCACGATGGCAATCACACAAGAGCTAATTCGACACGTCATCTACTACGAATGGCTTCGCGGGACCGGAGCGACGGCAACCGTTCAAAACATCAACAGCACATTGGGAGAGGGCACGGTCAAGCGCTGGTTCGCTCGCTTCGAAGAAGGAGACACGAACTTCGAAGATAAGCCTCGGTCGGGACGCCCCCACACAGTCGACGACTTCGCCATTCTCGACGCCGTCAAGGAGGATCCGGAACTCAGCACCCGCAGTCTTGCGACAAGACTTGGGTGTACTCAACCAACAGTCGTCGGCCGCCTTCACGCTCTCGGGTACAGGAAAGTGCTGGCACGATGGATCCCTCATGAGTTGACTGAGAATGCGCGGTTGACTCGGGTTGCCATGATCTGCTCAGTCACCTACTCTCCGCCCCAGCGCAAGGAGTTTCTCGCCGACTTGGTTACTGGAGACGAGAGTTGGATCCTCTACAACGCCAATAAGCACCGCGCGTTCTGGCTCCCGCAAGGAGAATCGCCGCCTACGCAAGCAAAATCCGATCTCCACCCGCAGAAGTGTCTGCTTTGCTGCTTCTGGGACGCGCGCGGTATGCTGTACTACGAGCATGATATTGCGGCCAAGGCCAGACGGTCACCGGGCCCATCTACGCACGCCAACTCGGCAAACTCGCCGAAGCTCTTCGCGAAAAACGGCCGAGACGGGCCTCGGTCCACCTTCTGCACGACAACGCCCGACCCCACATAGCAAAGGAGACCCGGGAAAAACTGGAGGAGCTGGGCTGGGAAACTGTCCCTCACCCGCCCTATTCCCCTGACCTAGCTCCTTCAGATTACCACTTGTTCCGTCCCTTTAGGCTTTTCTAGCTAAGAAACAATTCACCAAAATTGATGATGTGAAACGGGCGGTGAGTGACTTCTTCGACTCCCAGTCTCCTCAGTTCTGGGAGAAGGGGATCGCTGACCTGCCCATTAAGTGGGAGACTGTTGTCACTAATAATGGTGATTATATTGTTGAGTAGCTTGCATTGTATGCTGAGTACTAAATAAGGCAGAAAATTTTTTTTAAATGCCGGTTCATCACTTTCTTATCAACCTAATATCTCCTTCGGAATGCTTGTGTAGATCTCGTTTCAGTGTTGCCTACTTGTCTTTTTTTTTTTTTACAGTTGTGATTCATTCATTGAAAAAGTTTATATTTAAAGGCAGTTGGCCGCAGATAAGTCCGCGCTAGCGCCCTTCCAAGGAGTTATACTTACGAGGCCCTTCCAAGCTCCAAGTACCGACCGAATGTCCACCGCGGCCCCGCCCCAGTTACAATATGCCATGACCTTTCCTGCATGCATCGTATTGCTTCAGTTGCCAAAGTTAAAATATGAAGCGAAGGATGATAAGAAGCGCGTTGCGGTGCTTGCATGGACTCACAGATACATACTGTGTAACGTAGCGAGTTACTGGACAAGATGCCTACGGGACTCGTCCGAAAATCACTTTTCTGACGTCATTAGACGATAGGCTTTTCATATGCAGGGTTTTGACAGTCATCACTTGGTTTTTTTACGCCATTTTCCACTATACAGTGCCTTGCTAGCATTTTAGGCTGAAAATGCACTTTATATCTGTTTCAGTCCCCATAGGGGATGAGAATGTATGGAATATGTTTTTTTTTTCTCGAGGAATCCTCACTCTCCTATTACTTTTCGTCTTGAAGTATTTCGGTATGTGACAAGAAAATGGAGTACGCACGCTGAAGGGCGTCACCAGGCGGCTCCGCTCCCGACAGACGAGTTGTACTGCTTGGAAGTTTGAGTATTAAAAGAACTGGAAAGTCCAACATCGCAGACTTGCCTGCGCTTGAATGTGTCTGACACGTGGCTGCCCCACTAGCAAACTGCCGCGTGTCAGATTGCCATTTGTGTCACTGCGCCACGCTACGCGAGCGACGACACGACAGATAGTGTTCTCTTGTCCGCTTCTGAGGAAATAAAATTTTGGGTGCGAACCGAAACATCTCGGTTGCCGCGGTGGACGGTGCTGCAAACAGTGTAGCGTGTACGGCATTCGCACCAGGACACGACTGATTTGAATGAAAATCACCACTTCGAGACTTTCTCTAAAACGACTCCCCTGACCTGGCGAGTAAATACGACCCTTTGATGGGTTCGGGTACGTACGCTGCTGGGAAGGGAAGGAGATAACTATCCTGGACGCGTTCATACTATCCGAGCACGTTCACACTTCGCGATTCGACCGCTCAAATCGCGCAGTGCTATCGCATATGCCACTATATCGAATGGGGAAATTCGAATTGGGCCGTCTTCATACAGTGCGTAAACGCAGCCCAACCACATTTTCCGTTGAGGCAGTGGAGCGCCTCTGGTCGCGGTCGCGCGATTCAGTCGTTCAGCCGATCCCATCGCGCGATTCAAGCGATCGGACTGCGAAGTATGAACGCACCCTGTTAGAGCGGGGTATTTACATTTGGTCGCGCCATTCCCGTGCCCTTCCGTTCAAACACACAGGCGTCAGAAAGGTATGAGGCCGTCAACGAGAATGTTATTGTGCCAAATCAGGGCAGATCATTGGTTGGGGATTTCGGTCGAATCCGTACGTCCCCCCCCCTTTTTTGGGGTTTGGTACCACCCCCTGGTTCCCTAATCATCGAACTGTCCACCGGGGGGGGGGGGGGGGGGAGGGAAAGAAGTACATTGTGCACATGAAACGGGAAAAGCCAGGAAGTTTTTCTGCACTCCAAAATTCTTGCTGTCAGAACCCGGAGCGTGAGATCAGAAAAACCAGCTATCAAAAA